TTCTTCTGAGAGTCAGTATTGGTAGGGGGACTAGAGCTGCAGGGAGGGATTCCTGGACACCAAGGGCCAATCTAACACCCTCCTCCCTGCCTGGCAGATCTCAGATGCCCATGTGGGAGGAACAGCTGCAGCTGGGAATGGTGGTGCACCCCTATAATCCCAGTACTCAGGAGGCTGAGGCAGGAGGATCACTGCAAGTTTGAGGCCAGCCTGAGCTACATAACAAGACCCTGTCTCAAGAAAAGAAAAGAAAGAAAAAAACAGGGCTTCGAGAGTCTATATCTGGGACACACTTTGCTCCTAGAGCCACTGATGGAGAGTGAAGGCTGCTGTCGCTGGACCTACATAGTGGGTTTTCTGGGAGGCAGAGTCCTAGGCCCTGCCTCAGCCACTACCTCAGTGTGCCCTTCTGGAAAATGGACAGGCTGGACAAATGGCCCTCTCTGCCCCATCCAGAGCTAGTGTTCTAAAACTCTGCTCTTCCCTCATCCCTTCTCAGAATTGCCAGAGCTATGTCTCACTGGATAGTGGGGACACTGTGCTGCTCTGGCCGCAGCAAACATCTGAGGAAGGTGACTGCTGTAGTTTTCACCATTCCTTCCACTTGGACATTCCATAGTGGACTTATGAGTCTTCTTACTCACTGACTTTTCTTATATCATTGTGCACAGCTAATGATGTTGTTTCTTTGCACAGTGGCCACTCTGTTAGGGCTCTGATGGCATTTATCACACTTCCTATTAGTGCTACATTCAGAGATACACTCACATCTGTTAACTTGAGCCCCATAATTCAGCTACACCTCCCTCACCACCACCACTGCAGAGATTGGAAACTAGGGACCCAAGGTAACATAGCCACCAAGGGGTGACTCACTTTTGTCTTCTTTCCCCTCCCCATATTGCTTTATCCTGACACTGGGAAAAGTCAAACCTCCAACTGCCTCTCTGGACTCTGTCCTGCCAGGGACATAAGTTGCCCTCCATCAAGGGTCTTCCTAAATGGGTCAGGAAGGGGGTACACCTCAAGCAGAGCTACTCCCCATGCTGTCAGGTTCTTCCTATGCCTATAGAGCACAGAGTGGCATGCTCTCCCCAACCTGCACTGGCCAGCCATGACCCAGTAGGCAAGTGCTTTTCAATGAACCAAGTTCTGTCCCCTCACAGCACCTCTGGGGAAATTAGTGGGAGAAGCTAGACCAGCCCATGCTCACACTTCTACATATTAGGCCCCTTCTTAGGGGAGAGAAGAGGAGAAAGGGGCCTTAGAATCACACACACCTGAGGTTCCTGGACCACTCTACATCCACGTTGACCCATCAGGTCCTATGGATCTGAGGGCCAGGGCGTAGTGCCTCCCACACAGGCCACCTCTGGGAAGCTTGAGAACATAATCCACCAGACTTTGATCCTTGATTATTCATCACAGTCACTCTGAACTTGAGTCCTACTTCCTTTCCATCACCATCCATAAACTCATTGAGGGTGCTCCTCACTCCACCTAGGCTTCAGATCTGTCAGGATACAGGCTTATCCAGTGCTTCCCCCACCCACCTCCCTAAGGTTGGGAGGATTTATGCTTGTGCAAAAACTCGCCTATTAAGTTCAAGGTAGATGCAAAATGACTCTGCCCAAGGGGTAAAAGAGACTTTTCAGGGCACTGTTTCAAGTATTTTAACCCACTCATTTAACAGTAAGAAAAGAGGTCCCAAAAAGTGAAAGAATAGGAATTTAAGGGCAAAATCAGGACCAGACATCAGGTCTGCCAGCTTCCAACCCCACAGTGTCTCTCTTCTAGCTCCACAGATGCTTACGAAAGCCAGTGGCTCTCTGGTCTGGCTCATAATTTACCAGTTTTAATCAACTGCTTGTGGCTTACGTGCATACACTTGGTTATTATCTGTGCTTTGTATAATCCACCAAGTTGCTGCCCAAGAACCATACTTAATGAAGCTTGGGAAATCCTAGCTTCCTGTCTTGGTTATGGGAACTGTGTGTCTCCTGTAGCTTAGTAATAAAACAGGAAATGCCAGAAGAGGCAATGGGCCAGCCCACTTCCCTGCCTCCCCGCCCCTCACCCTACCTGGTTCCCTACTTGCAGGTGTGCACATCATAGATTCGGATGCACTCCTGGCAGCTGACATAGCAGCACCAGTGGAAGATGCAGTGGCACTTCTCCTTCCGCTTCTCCGTCCTAGTGTTGTGGCCACGGCCACAGCAGAGTAAATCACAGCCATCGATGCCATGGGAGGTGACGTTGCAAGTCCGGTCCCTGGTGCCAAAAGAGCCTGTCTCTGGGTTGGGCTCACAAAAGTTGGGGGAGTTCTCATAGTAGACCAAGTCCCTCTCGGTGGGCGGCTTGAAGAGCGCATACTTGGCCCGGAGAGTCTCCACCCAGCCTCGGGACTCACGGTGCTTCTCCACCACCATCTCTGAGGCACTGTCATACTTGTCTTTGAGGAAGTCCCCAATGGCACGGAAGTCAGGCTGGGCCCACCAGCAGGTCTTCACCTCACAGCTTCCCGACAGCCCATGACACTTGCACTTGAGATGCATGTGGTCCAAGATGGTCTGGAGAAGAGGAATAGCAGCTGGCCCCAGACCGACCCTTCCAGGGAGCACCTTCCCACTCTCCTTCACTCCCCTCATCCCCCATCCCTCCAGCCTTCTCTATTCCTATTCTGTGCCAAGAAGAGAATGGAAGAGACTGAGGTACGGATCTAAAGTTGTTTCCCTGGGTGACACCTCAAGCATTGACAGACCTCACATTCATTTCTCAAAGTGGTAAGAAACGGTTTGTTATCCCCGTTTCACATATGGGGACACTGAGGCTGGGAGCTTAAGTGCCTCACCTGAGGTCATATAACCACAGAAAGGGATAGAGGCTGAACTCAAAGTCAGGTCCCAGGACTGCACAGCCAGACATCTACACAGCCAGCCAAACTGCACAGAAAGGCCCAGGGTACCTGTTCCCACAGCCGTCACTCTGGGCCCAGGCAGTCTCCTGACACAGACGTCCTTTCCAAGGAGGAAGCTACTGTGGTGGTGAGTGGGAGCCAAGGGGAAAGGGAGCCCAGGATGCCCAAGGCCTCCTGAAGGGGCAGGATTCCCACAGGTTGGGGCAAAGGTACCAAGGCTCACCGTGCGGCCTGCTTCGTTGTTGTGTTTGTTCATGGCTGAGCGGGCATCTGGTCGGTTCTCTCGGGCATCAGCAAACTCCCGGGACACGAGCACCCCGAAGTCCGCATCCTCACTGCAGCCCCCCCACTTCCAGCCTTCACCAGGTGGTCCCTTATGATGTGAGTCACAGCCACAGATGGTGGAGGTACCCTCGGCGCAGGAGCGTGTGACGGCAAAGGCCACACCAGCCGAGGCAATGGCGTGCACAAAGGCCGACTCACGGGTAGCTGTGGAGAGGGTGTGAGGGGCAATGCTCAGGCTGGGGCTGAGGATGCTCGAGCTCTGCCTCCACTTCCCCAGCCAGGAGGAGGAAGGGGTAAGGAAGAGTTTAAGGGCTCACCAGCTCTGAAGGAAGAGGGAGGGCAGATGGTCCAGACCCTGGTAGATATCCTCACTTTATGGATGAGCAGACTGAGGTCACGGTCTGCTGGTTAGCCCCAGCCCCAAATGCTGCTATAGGGTCAGGGGGAGCCTCTTAGAAATGACGGCTCTGGCAAGTTGCTGAACCCATAAGGTAGCCACACTCTATTCTGGCTTACTGTCTCTGTTTAACAGATGGGGACACTGAGAACGCCCTCCACCCTACCAAACTTCAGAAACCCCAGGACGGTCTTGAGCCTCCACTCCTAAAACAGCTTGTAGCCTGTGGGAAGGGAGCCTGGGAATCCATAGCCTAAACCTACCTAAGCAACCCATCCCCACCTGGACGCTTGGACAGATTCTTTCCTTTTCCGAGTCTCCCTTACTCTCTCTGTAAAATGGATACGGCATTTAGCTGCTACTACAGTTCCTGACCAAGAAAGCAGGAGCTGGATTCTCCACCTTTCCCTTTATGTTCTCTGCCTCCACCTCAAATCCAAGGTTTCGAACTGAGGAGGCCCAAGGGTGGGGACAGGACAATTCCACCTTATTTCACAGATGTGGCCATGATGGTTATGGAGACAAAGTCTTCCAGACCTGCAGAGCAGCCTTCTCCCCTCACAGACCAGGTCCCCAAGGCGGGAAGGTGACGTAAGACTCTTTTGCACAGGTGTAGACAAGGGGCGGGCCTAGCAGCCTGGACTCCAGCCTCTTGTCCTGGACCGTGGCCCCGGTCCAGTGTGCTGAGGGAGACCGCAGCTGCGCAGACAGGAAGCGCTCAGAGTCATTGCTGCCTGTCTCTGAGGCCCCAAAGCGCTCCCAGACCACCTGCAGAGCAAAGACGCCACCACCCATAATAGGGCGCGGCGTGGGGCCGGGGTCGCACATCGGAGCCTTCGAGGCGCAGCCGACCATGGACCGGGCGGACCGGGGCTTGGAGCCCGGCGTCGCTCCCGGCTTGGGCTCCCCGCCGTCCAGGCCCGGTCCCTCCCGCCTCGGAGTCCGCTGGGGGGCGGAGGGCGAGCTCGCCGGCGATGCCCCTCGCTTCCGGGGGCCCGGGGCCTCTCGCGGCGGCGGCCCGGTCGCGCTCGGTTCCCAGCCCCGAGATGCAGGGGCTGCGGGGGCGGGGCGGGGATTAGCCTGGGAGCGGCGCTGACAGCCCCGCTGTGCCGGTCCCAGTCCGGCGGGGCCCGCTGGGCCGCTCAATCCGCCTTTGTTCGCGCGGTGTCACACCGCATTACCCGCATAATGCGGCCGCCGGGCTCGGGCCTCCGGGCCGGCCGCCACCGCGTAGCAACGGGCGGCTCCCGCTGCCGGGCCGCGCCCCAAGCCCCGAAGCCAGGCAGCGCGATCCCCCCGGAGGCGGTGGCCCCCGCCCCCGCGCCGCGTCGAGTGGCCTGAGGGCGTGTGAATGGCGCTGTAGGCCGGGCCGGCCGGGGCCGGGGCGCGGCAGGGGGCGGCGCTCGCCTGCTCTGCGAGCCGCCCGGGACCACGGCCTCGGCCTCCTGCGCCCCTTCCGTCCGGCAACCCCACGCCCCTCCGGGGCGCTCCTGTCACCCCTCGACCCGCGCCTAACGCCGCCCCTTGAGGAGACGCGCCCTCAGCAGCCCGACTCTCCGGTCTCTAAGCGGCCGGCCGAGCTCATCCCCGGCCGCCCACCGCGCTCATCCCCGGCCGCCCACCGAGCTGGGCTCCAACACGGGCCTAGAGCCGAGCGCGAACGCTCTGGGGACCAGTACGCGTGGCCGTGCGCGGGAGCCTTCGGACGCAGGACAGCTCTCCTCCAATTCCCAGCGTCTCTGACCCACACTGTTTCCCCTACATAAATCTGCCCTCTTGCAATTTAGGGACGAAAGCATGCCTCAAAACTCACAAGGGTGATTTAAAACGTTAAACACATTGCGAGCGGGCAACACGATCAAAGATCCGACTCTCACTGGCTAATGTCTGAGCGGGAAGAGCAATCCGGTGAGTCTTACTTCCAGGGAGCGCGTCAAGACGCCAGGCTGTTTGATTAAGCGCTACCTGGCCCGAGGTGGGGCACCGGAAGGCGAGGAGACAGATACACCGGCGAGATCAAGTTTGAAATGCAAGCCGCCGCCACTTGGCCCCAATTAGAGGCCAAACCTTTTATGTAAACAAGGAATAATTAGCTTTGGTAATAGAAGCGTAAACAGAATCATCATCCATTGATTTGCTAATTGCCCTCCTGTCCCATGACAATAGCCAGCATTTTGCTGTAGGTCGGACAGACCCTGTGTACCAGAGGACAGGTAAAGGGGTATTGCACTCTAAAATGGGGGGTAGTCGGCTCTTCCCCACCTCCAGGCTCTCACCCTACCCTTCAATTGGGTGAAGGGAGACGATCTCAGACCCCCCTTTTTTTTCTGTCTGTAAGTGCAGCTCTATCTATCAATTCTTTTTTCTGGAGGGAATACCAGGCTGGGTGGGTTGGATGCCAAAATTTCAGTGGCGGTCAGCCTGGCTAGGGTCATGAAATTCCTGGACACTGCAATTCCCCCCAAAAAGTTGCTTATCTTCGGCCCAGAACCCCCAGTCTCCTTTTAGGAGCAGTTGCCTATCCCACCCCCAGGACCCCTAAGTTCAAAGTCAAATCATGTTACTTTCGTTCACTGGAGGCCTAGCCAATTATACTCTCAGGTTGCAAGACATCTGGGAAGTTACCCGAGGCCCATATGCCCATTAGAGTTTATGGGCATATCCAGCTTGCAGGGCATGGAGACCAACAAAAACTCAAAGGGGACTTGGCAGCAATACATTGCTACCAGCACCAGGTAGCTTCCTCAGCTCCTGAGGACTTTCCAGGCAGAAAGCTGGGGGGATAAGGCCCCATCCCTGCCCCAAAGTGACATTTGCATAGCAGTTAGCACAGACTGGGAAAAGGTTGCAAATGTCTACATCAAAGCCTGGATCCCTGCTGTGTGAGCCAGGAAGGAAGGCTATGAGCTCCTTGGTGCCTGCTCTCAAATTTTAGGATCCTGTGTCATCTCAGGGCTGACCAGCCCCCAGCCTGGTCTGTCCAGAGTGGAGCCTCACCCACTTTGTATGGAAACCACTGATGACCATCATCACCAGTTTTATTGTCCTCCCAGGGAGGAACCTTGCTGTGGAAGGGCACAGGCCCTGGAACTATTGCCCCCCTCTGTCTCCTCCCCACCTGCCACCTTCCCAGAGGCATACCTTTGTCTAGGACAGGCCCAAAGATGGCCAGGCTGTCATCTATGGTGGTGCAGTTCCAGCGGCGGCCCCGGAACTGGTGCTGGCACTCCTGGATGCCCAGCTTCACGCCCTCAGCCACACTGGGCATAATCTCGATATAATTGCGGCAGAAGCGCAGTTGCTTGGGGACCAGGCCTGGGATGGAGCCACAGAGCAGGGGCTGTGAGCCCAGAGATGTGTACTGCTGGCCCAGGGCCAGGGACCTGTGGACAGACAGAAGGAGATGGCTTTGTGGGCACAAACACACATCCCAGCATGGGCATCACTTCTTAATGCACCCTCTAGGGTAGGTGGAGGAGTGAAGAGCTTATTGGCCTAAACTCTAAGCCCGGAAAAGCCTGGTGCCTGCACATGCATGCTGCCTTTGCCATGCAACGACGTGGGTACGCCCAGTTTGCATGGGGACAGAGACCATCAGAATCTCTCATGGGAGCCTTTAGGGCAATGCAATGCCATGAAAAGAACCCTGGACTAGAAGGACAATACTTGGGCTGATCAAGTCCTTTCATTGCCTTTCACATGTCTGATGACATTAGGGCTGGGGATTTAGCTCAGTGCTGCTCCTGCCTGCCTCGAAAACATAAGGTCCAGAGTTCGATCCCCGGCGCCAAAAAAAAGAAAAAAGCTCATGCTACACATCCCTGATGGCATTGAGGGAATAGGAGATCTACAGAGTCCAGGATTCAAGGGGCCTCAAGGAAACTGCAGTGATTTGTAGGGAGGAAGGCAGCAAAAGCTGCCTTGACCTTAGCCCCATCTCAGAAAAAGCAGAGAATCATCAGTCCCAGCAGAAAGCTTACACTTATGTGCGTGCATTTTAAACACATGTGTGCACATGCATGAGAACACATGCACACCATGGTGGCAATGCCCCTCTGCTTCCTTGCTGGGACGCTGCCTGCTCAACCGCCCCCCCCGCCCCCCCCAGCTCCCTAGTGTCTTCCCTGGGAATCAGTGGCACCAAGACCTCTGCACACCAGGGCCTCCACGGACATCTTTACAATTCCCTAGAAGTTTCTATTTTGTGTATTTATTTTTGTGGTGCTGGAAATTGAACCCAGGGCCTTGATCATGCCGGACAAGCACCCTAGAAGTTTCTAGAGTGCCACCTCCTTTCTTCTTGCCAGTGTTTAGAGCTCAGCTATGTTTCAAGACAAGTTTAGCTCAAGGTCAAGAGAAAGAGCCCAGCTGTCACTCTCCCCATCCAACACAATGTGACTTTGGTCAAGCCATACCATTCTTCTCCCCATTTTTCAATCAATAGAGGCCATAGAAGGAAAGGTTTTGTGGGGGAAATGGGGGAGTTGACTATATCAAAAAAACATAGCGTGTAGGAATTGTGGGAATTTCTAGTTTTCCATTCCCTCCCTACCACAGGAAGAACAGAAATGATGTTTTGTGGGAGAAGCCAAGAAAATGACCTGTGGATCTCAGTAGGGTTCAAAGCCAATCGTGATCAGCCCTGTGATGGGAACAGAATGAGCTGGATGGAGCTCATGGAACCCATCTCTTCTCCTGCTGTGTCCCGCACTGACCAAGGCTTTGGTCTAGCACTGGCCTAAGACAAGTTCTCCGTGCAAAGTAACAAGGAGAGACCTGGAAAGAGGATCAGGAGAAGACCCCAGGGCTGGGTCAGAAAAAAAGCCACAAACATTTTCTGGGCTGGGAACAGGGATGAACAAAAGATCTGTCATGTATCCACTCTTCTCATGTGCCACACTCTTTGGATGCAGCAGCCTTGACTGACTCTTGAATGTGGAGAAAATTCCTCATCCTCTAGATGAGGAATTTGGAGCCTACAGAGTAACTCAGCCTGCCCAAGGCTTTTGATACCAGGCTGTGGCAGATCAGAGAGTGCTGTGTGCTGCTTCCCCATGATCCTTCTCCCTTACTTTGGCTTGCTCCTGGCCAACTCATGGAAACTCCAAGGGATGGAGTTCTCTAGGTAGTGCCCAACTGCCTGGGGCTGCCTCTGAGCTCAGTTGTCAGGAGTTGAAGCAGACCCTGGTTTTTCTACATATTTATTTATTTTGGGAGGAAGGATTGGGGAACCAGACCTGGGAGTTTGGATAGTGATGTTTATGAAACATTTCTAGATATCAAGCACTGAGCCCCCTTTTTGATTGATTGATTGATTGATTGATTGGAGACAGGTCTTGCTTTGTAGTGTAGGCTGGTCTTGAACTCACTATGTAGCCCAGGCTGGCCTCAAACTCATGGTGATCCTCCTGCCTCAGCCTCCCGAGCGCTGGGATTACAGGTGTGCACCACCACCATTGAGCCCATTTGAAAGGCAGGAAGAGCAGCCCAGAGGTCTGATTTATCACTATTACCACTGGCACTGGCTAATTGCTGACTTCCTCTGTGCCAGGCTGAGCCCTTTCCTTGACTTTTCCTCCTTTTGACCCTCATTAACAACCTAGCAAGTAGTGGGGTCTTTAATAGAAGCCTTGTTTTTACAGGTAGGTTACCCCGCCCAGATCCCAGAGCTACTGAGTCACTCGTGGGAACTAAGCCTCCTGACTTCCTCCCTTCCTTGTAGGCAATGCCCATCTGGGTCCCCAGGGGATGGATATGGCTTTAGGCCTGAGTGGGAGAGACCCAGTGACCCCAGAGGACAAACATTGCTTGATGGGGCCCTGCAGGGATCCTTTCCTGCCCTTGCTCTTTGTATAGTAAAGAACAGGAAAATGTGATAATAAAATACTTATCATTTACTGGACACAGTTCTGGGTGCTATTACCTTGTTGAATCCTTACAGCAGGTCTGTGAGGTTGGAACTTCATCATCATCACCACTGTCTCATTTCTTTTTTTTCTCTTGGTACCGGGGATCAAACTCAGGTCCTTAGCTTGCGAGGCAGGCGGTGGAACCACTGAGCTAAATCCCCGGCCCAACCACTGTCTCATTTCACAGACAAGGACTTTGAGGCCAGGGAGCTAAGCAACCTGCCTGGGTGTGCAGGGCTGTGAAGTCCCAAAGTTGAGCCCCTTCCTGGCTTAGGCAGCCTTTCCCACGTTCTTTTTAAATTTTTTTCCCCTGGTGCTAAGGATCAAACCCAACTTTATGCTGGTGACCAGTGTGTCCAGCCCCATCCTGGTAACTGACCTCATAGTCACTAGACAGGGAAACTGGACAAGGGCAGTATAGACAACTCAGCCTAGCACCATCCAGCCACTCACCATTCTGAGTTAGTTCCCTCCTTTATATCAACCCCTGTCTCATTCCTCCTGCCCTTGAGGAGCACCAACTAGCTAGGAGGCATGGCTCACATCCAGGCCACTGATCTAAACAATTTCTTTAATCTCTTCCTCCTCAGTTTCTTCATGTGTAAAGCAGACATAATGGGAAGAGGAAATGGAGTAACCCCCTGCCTGGCGCATGGGCAGCCCTGAAGAAATGGTGCTCAACTGCATGTGGTTAGGGGCTGTCTCCAGCACTTTGCCCCCACTTTTGTTGCCAACCTCATTCCTCCATACCCTTGCATTTGGTAGAACACATCAAAACTTTCAAAGTCCCTTCCTATCTAACGCTGGGAAGGATGCGATGGCTCAGAGCAAAGACCTCTTCCCTGGCAGCTCCGTCCTAACAGGGCTGGTGAACAAAGACATTTGTGATCTGGCAGCATGTAGCCCAAAGGGGAAGGGCAGAAGGACATTTCCACGATGCTCCATTCAAAGGTTTCAGCTCAGATCTGGACATCCTGCTGGTAATTAGCAAGGGCCTCTGGGGTGGAGGTTTAGCTCCAAGGGCTGGTGTTAGAGCTAATGAGGTTGTGGCTGAGGGATTGATTTCTGCAGGAAAGCTGCTTCCCCAACATGCCCTGCCACCCCTGACCCGAGCTTGTGCTTACACATTGCCATGTCTGACACTCCACCATCACAGACACAAAAATTTCACTCGCTACTTCTTTTCCCCATTATTAAAGCACGCATTCCTCTGGGGGAGACAACACAGGGAGCCTCATTCTCCTCATTTCTTTCTGCCAAAGTGTGAGTGGCTTTGATTACATTTGCCTCGAAACCCATCTCCTTCCACCTCCATGTCTTTGCCCAAGCTGTGCCCCCTCCCAGGAGTGGCTTCCACCCCTAGTAAACATCTTACCATCCCTCACGAACTGGACAGGCACCCAGGCGGAAGTAACCTCTCCTCCTTTGGATGTTTCCTGTGCCTTGTTCAAACCTTCTCATCACTAAGTGCTCAAGTGGCTTATATCCAATGCCATCTGGCTGGGTGAGTGTAGGTACCCAAGGATGGAGGTGTGTCTCCTCCTCCTTTCCCAATCCTTCCCCAGTAACACACATACACACACGTGTGCACATGTGCACGCACACACGTACACATGCATGCACCAGCACACTTGACCTTCCACAGGGCCAAGAGCATGATAGGTACTTGCTGATGCTCGAGGCAGGGATTAATGGAATGCTCTGTAAAGAGCCAGTCTGATGTCCCCCTCTCCCCAGCTCCAGGCATCCGGAGGTTCCACCTACACACAGGACAAGACTTCTTGGTTCCGCTGAGGAAGTTCCTACGTTTAGGATCTCAGATGATGGCCAGGCTCCCAAAGGAGGTAGGGTTCTGCCTGGCACCAGCAGCTGGTGAGGGGGAGGGCAGAGACTCCTGCCAGGCCTTCCCAGTTGGGCCAGGGGCTATTTATACTCAGTCCCTGCCCCTGCCCTGCCCAAGGGCTCTGCCACCTTCCCCATGGGAATGGCTCATCCTCCACCCCAACCACCCACTGCCCCACTGGGTCTACGACAGACACAGGCAGTCAGGAAGATGGGCAGCAGGTGCCAGCAAGCTACCAGCTGCTGGAGGAGACCTTGATGCTGACCTCTTAGGGTGAGATAATTTATCTATCTATTTATCTCTCTATCTGGGTGTCACGATGTAGCCAGGCTGACCCCAAACTCAAGCTGATCCTCCTGCCTCAGCCTGTCAAGTGCTGGGATTACAAGTGTATGCCACCATACCTGGCTAAACAAAAATTTTAAACAAACAGCTCACATCACCCCATGCTGAATCGGCTCTACACTGTCACCACAGTTCCTGTCCTGACCCATAGATTTGAAGCCCTTTGCTGGATGAGGAGCCTCCCCTGCACCCAAACCTGAGTTTGGTTTGGTTTTTTGATCTTATTTTGTTGTGCTTTACTTTAGGACTTCCCAACATAGGAACTTAGAGGCTGGAGGGACCTCAAGGATCACCTAGTTCAAGCTGTTTCTTATTTGTTACCCACTTTTTTTTTTGGTACCAGGGATCAAACTTGGGACCTTGCGCTTGCGAGGCAGGTGGCGGAACTGCTGAGCTAAATCCCTGGCCCAAGTTACCCACTTTTTTCCCAAATGCACTCACACAATCTCCCTCTTCTCCCTATATCTAAAACAGATACAGAGGAGCCTCTTCCCAAAAAAGCTAAAGAGAATTACCATAGAATCCAGAATTTCACTCTAGTTGCATATCCAAAAGATCTGAAAATGGGGACCCCAACAGATACTTGTTCACCAATGTTGGTGGCAGATGAATGACAGTGTGGAGCACAAATACAGTGGAGTAGCATTCAGTCTCGAAAAGGAAGAATTTCCAACATATCACAAGATGCACCTGGATAACATTATACTAAGTGAAATAAGCCAGGCACAAAAGGATAAATATTGTGTGACTGAACTTCTGAAATATCCAGAGATAGAAGTGAATTAGAGATTGCTAGGGGCAGGGGAAGTAGAAGTACAGTTTTCATTCGGGATGATGAAAAGTTTCTGGAAACAGATAGTGGTGATGTCTTCACAACCCTGGAATGTTTTTAATGCCTCTGAATTGTACACTCAGAAATGATTAAAATGAGAGAAGTAGGGTGTCTCCCTGGATCCCCATTCCTCAACTTTCCCCTCAGCCCCCGCTAAAGGCTTCTCCGCAGGATGCAAGAGTCATTTGTCTAGTCCAATCCTTTCCTCCTTTGCATGGCTCTGAGAAACTGTCATTTTCCCAGCTTGCACAGCTGGCTGGGAGGACTGCACGGGGGGAACCTAGGGCTTGCAACTGCCACCAGGGCTCATCTCCCTGCACCATGGCACCTCACTGGAGCAGATGTCACTATCCTGTAACCCCACCAGGCCCTAACCTTGGGGATGATAAACACACATTCTCAGAAACTACTCTAGGACAAAGCACAGAGTAGATGGAGGGATCCACCCACAGTCCCCATAAAGTAGGAAGTGGACGCCAGGACTGCAGCCATGGCCAAGCTTCCTCCAGGCATGCTTTTCTTGAAATCACAGGCTCCATGTCCTCCCCCTTTCCCATAGGGAAGCCTAACTGTCCTTGCCAGGTAAGGCACCATTAGATTCTGATTCCAAAACACAGCATCTCTTAAAATTCCTGTCAAGGGTGCTTACAGGAAAAGGGAAGAGTTGGAAACTTTTGTGTTTACTTGTCTCTCTTCCTACAGTAACCGGGGTGTTTTGATGAGCTCCACAATGTCCCAGTCCTGGATGCTCCACATACTGGTTCCTGAGCAGTTCTAGACAAAGGCCTAACTGCCTCCTGAGTCCAGAGGAACTCCATCTTGGCCTAAACCAAGATGGAAACTTCTAGGAGGGGAAAGAAAAAGGCTTGAGAAATGACAGGAAATAAAAACCCAAGCATTGGCCTTGGAACTCGAGGCAAACTCTTTTCCACTTAGGCCAAGAGACAATGGTCTCAGAAGAGCCCAAGCAAATTCAGGGACTTGTGCCCAGTTTAGCGGGGAAGGGGCTAGGCCTGCTGGGCCCTCATGCATCTATTCCTAGAGCTCTCACAGAACTGCTCTCAACATGGGAACCCATGGGCCTGGGCCTGAACCACTCACCCTGGTGCCTTGGCAGTTAACTTGTTAACCATACAAAGCAAAGGAGAGAACTAACTGAAGATCAACAAACTGCCACCCTTCCTTGCCCGTCCCCTGGCCCTCTCTGGAACACACAGAGTCCTAGTGTGTGCTGAGCATAGATCCACGCCCTTCTCAACATACTGCTACAGACCCAAAGGGGCTCACGTGGTACAGTGGTCTGGTGGCCTTTAGAGGGTTTCTAGATCTCCGGTGGCTGCCTCTCATCAAAGAAGTAGATATGTTGCAAGTCATATAGTCCCAGCATTCTGAGAAGCTGAGGCAGAATGTCACAAGTTTGAGCCCAGTCTGAGCAACTTAGTGGCTTAGCAAGACACTTTCTCAAAATAAAAACTAAAAAAGCGTTGGGGATATAGTTCAGTGCAAAGGTCCTGGGTTCAAACCCCAGTAACAAACAAAAAGTGGAGATGCCTGTAGACCCTTCCTATTTATCACAGGTCCATTCACTCCACAAGCATGGGGGCTGTTGTCTCTGGCAGGGGCAGGGAGAGAAGAGAGAACAATGGCAGGGGTTGCTGAGCCTACAGGGCACTGAGCCTCCTGCTCAGTTCCAGCCAGGAGACTAGGGCCTCTGGAAGACAATAGACACGCGCAGCAAATGGAGTGCCTGGCTTGGTGAGTAGGTTAAAGCCTCTCCTAGGTAAACACATTCATTCACCTCCTGTTCACTCAACACACACGAAGGGGATGACTCTGAACCTGGCAGAGCTCCAGGTACTGGGAACAGGGAGGCAAATGAAGCAGCAACAAGGAGTCCCCAGACCAGGAGGCATCTGTCAAGAAGAGACCAACAAGGGCCTGGGATTTAGTTCAGTGGGTCCACCATCTGCCTTGCAAGCGCAAGGACCCGAGTTTGATCCCCGGTACCAAAAAAAAAAGAGAAGAGACCAACAAGCTTGTGGTAAGAGCACCTAATCTCAAGCAGGGCAAGTGAGACCCCACTACCAGGAGTAGGAGGAGCAATAAGTCTTGTGAAGGTGGCTAGGGTTCCCTCAGGCACTCCCAGCAGGGAAACAGCCTCAGACTAGGAGGCAGGAATGGGAAGAGTAGCTGGTGTACCCAACTGGAGTCTGAGGCCACAGAGGAGCAAAGAAGGTACAGGCTAAAAAGGGCTGCGTGCTGGGCTTTATTCTACAACCTGGCAGCCATTGTAGCTTCCAGGGCTGGACTTTGGACTTTGGCTCTGTCAGTCATGTACAAAATAGGACAAGGGGTAGGCACTGAAGACCAAAGGCTAGGAAAGCAGCTGGGAGGCTGGTGTGGTAGTTGGTGCTAAGGAGATTCTGAGGCTTGACTGAGCACTGCAGCCATACAAGGTCCAGATGTCACTGGTCTAGGGTGAGCCAATTGTGAGGTTGGGCTGAGAACTGCCTGCCTAGGTTAATGCCTAGGTCTGTGGCAGGGGAGGGGCCCTCAGGCCATCTCAGGACAGTGGCCTTAGGAACCGAGAGGAAGCCATGAATAAGGATCAGAGAAATAAGAGGAAAGTGTAAGGAAGGTTTTGAGCCAGGGTGACCAGTAAAATGGAGATGGTGTCCACTAGGACTGAGAATGCAAGAGGTGAAGCAGCTCTGGGAACAAAGATGAAAGAAGGCTGGTGGGGCCAGGATACCTGCAGGCACCCACGTCCAGATAGTTGGGAGGTGTCAAGCTGGAGCGCAAGAGGAAGAGGGAGGGTAGACATTCAGATTTGGGGAACTTTGTCTTGGAGCTAGAGTTGAATGATATTTTAGCACAACTCCCCCCCACACACACACAGAGACACACACAGGCACAGGGGAGGCTGGGCCAGCCGAAGACTCATAGACCAAGGCAAGAAGGGCCCCAGAATGGGGGCTGAACCTCACCCAAGAGGCTAGAACCTGGAGCAGGAGGTAGGAGAGCCTACCGGAAGCCTGCAAGCAGCAGGCTGGTTGAGCCTGGCTTCACTTTCCTGAAGAGGTCCCGTGGAGGCAGACAGCCAGCGTGCTTGGGCAGAGTCACCATCCTTCTGTTTCTCTTCTCTGTCCTTCTTGTGCTTTGCTCCTCACTGGGCTAGAGCTCTGGTGCTTCCTAAGCCCTCCAGCCATCCCTTCCCCACCCTGATTCGTCCACCACCATGCACTGCTGAGGCCCAGGCCCCTAGGGACCAGGTTCAGGGTCTGACCCTAAGGCTGCCTCAGCTAAACTCGGGCCCATGGAATTTTGTCCAGTCCTTCCTGGGCCTGTCACTCTGCACTGTTTCACCAACATCATCAGGAGCTTGGCATGAGCAAGAAAGCAGGAATTCAGGGAAAATCTGAGGAAAAAGAGGGTATTCCAGGTCAGTGGTCCACATGAGTGGTGAAAATCCCACATGTAAGAAGAAAACCAAGCCAGGTGTGGTAGTGTACACCTGTAATCCCAGCACTTAGGAGGCTGAGGCAGCAGGATTGCCATGAGTTTGAGGTCAGCCTGGGCTCTACTGTGAGTTCAAGGGCAGCCTGAACTACATAGCAAGACCCTGTCTACCAAAAAAAAAAAAAAGTAAAGCCAAAGTTCCAAAACATCCTTCCCAGTAGGAAGCAGCCCCTGAGGATGGGCCAGCCAGTGCAGGCCTCTCCTTCTTCCTCTTTCTCCTGAAACACTCCCATGAAACTTCCCCTACACACCAAGTGACGCTTCCACTTGTCTATGAGTGACTTTACAACTCCTCTGTGTCCTCC